AAAAAAAAAAAAAAAAAAAAAAAGAAGATAAACAATAAAAATGTACCACTTGACCTTCAGTTCCATGAAAAACAGAACCCGCTAAAGATCAATAAGAGTATATTGCATAATGTCTACTGACTAACCTCTGATTTTTAGTGCACATACTGAAAAATAAATCAAGGCATGTTTGAGAAAGGTGGGGTAAAAGCATCCACTTTCACACCCAAAAAGAGACAGAAAGAGAAGCAGGAGGAAATGGGTATGAATATTCATTCAAAGTAAGAAAGAGAAGGAGAGAAAGAGCGAGAGAACCTCGGATGGATAAGACACATGCACAACACGAGGTGAAGGAACAAAGACACTGAACCCTTCAGTTCCATGAAAAACAGAACCCGCTAAAGATCAATAAGAGTATATTGCATAGTGTCAACTGACTAACCTCTGATTTTTAGTGCACATACTGAAAAATAAATCAAGGCATGTTTGAGAAAGGTGGGGTAAAAGCATCCACTTTCACACCCAAAAAGAGACAGAAAGAGAAGCAGGAGGAAATGGGTATGAATATTCATTCAAAGTAAGAAAGAGAAGGAGAGAAAGAGCGAGAGAACCTCGGATGGATAAGACACATGCACAACACGAGGTGAAGGAACAAAGACACTGAACTCCCAACATAAAAGGTAGTGCACAACATAAATAAACATGACAGGATACAATCTACAACAGAATGTGCAACATTCAGTTGAAATAAATCGAGATGAACAGGCCCCACCTCAGCCTGAGTGAGATTATGTCATAAAACAATGAATATTCAATTTTAAATCAGCACTAACCTTCAGTCTGAGGCTCACAGCGTAATAAAACACTTTAAAGGATACTTGCCAAGAACGTATTCGGCTTTTGTTTGTTAACAACACACTTTTTCAGCAAATAAATTAAATGTCTAAGGTCTGAAATTGGTAAAGGGTGATGGAGGCGGAGCCACGTTTTTTCAGATATGTCATAAAGCTTAAGAGCTTGAGATTTGGTAACACTGAGCACCAATACATACATGTATCTGAGATAGTTCTATGTATGACACTGCATATAATTCAGCTTTATATGCAGTATGTCATCACATATTGCTTAGGTACGGGATAAAAACAGTTGTACATTCTTTGAGACTGGAAGTCAATGAAATGGAACAATTTCAAATGCATCCCAGCCTTTAAACGGCTTCAGATATGATCGAAGTAAAGCACTTGAACATTGCATGAAGATCGCTGCATTTTCTGGTCAGCTATCACAGACTGACTGACTGAAAGCTATCATAAAGTTGAATGTGATGATATTGTACAAGTGAAATATTCTTCAAGCCATGCCAATAAATGAGGCTCAATGTTCTTGAATATGAAAAAAAATCATAAAAGTACAAGTTCACTTCTGCCTAAAGGTATGGAAACTGAACAAATGTGTGCTGCTGGGTAGAATAAACCTCCATTAAAGGACTAGTACACTAAAAAATGAAAATGTACTCACCCTCAGGCCATCTAAGAAGTAGATGAGTTTGTTTTTTCATTGAAACAGATTTGGAGAAATTTAGCATTACATCACTTTCTCATCAATGGATCCTCTGCAGTGAATGGGTGCCGTCAGAATGAAAGTCCAGACTGCTGATAAAAGCATCACACATGTCTCGAGCCCATCTGTTAACATCTTGCGAAGTGTGTGTTTCTTACAAACATGCAGCTTTTCATTTCACAAAATGTTAATTGATGTACTGGAGTCGTGTGGATTACTGCAGTGTTTTTTCAGCTGTTTGGACTCTCATTCTGACGGCACCCATTCACTGCAGTGGATCCATTGGTGAGAAAGTGAATGCTAAATTTCTGCAAAAATCTGTTTTGATAAAGAAACAAACTCATCTACATCTTGGACGTCGATTTTCAGGAAATATTCATTTTTGGGTGAACTATATTCCTTTAAAGAATAAGTCGATGGTGCCACATACGTGGATCAATCTGAATGCTAGAATAAATATCTAACAGCAAACTAAGACCTACCAAACAAGGACCATAGTCCAATATTTCAATAAACATGCCTGCTAACACTTTTTTTCCTGTATGGGCATGATTCAAACATTTTTGTGATATAATCACATTATGTTTTGGATCGATTGCAGCTCCCACAAAATCCACTTAACGTGATCTCTATTTGAAATCCATTCCGACAGATTTTTTGTTGTTGTTGTTGAACAACTGTAAAACCCAAAGGATATGAAATTAATTGCAGTGAGTACATTCTGCTGAGATGGCAGTAAAAACATTTGTAAATGCAGGCACACATTATATTTTTAAAAGAAGTACGTCCGGAAAATACTGGCACAGGAGCTTAAAGTATTCAAAGAGAAATATAACAAATAATTTGAGAATATATTAGGAAAATAATCTGCATACCTAAAATTGCACGCACCCCACTGTACCTTTAAAGCAGACACGAGACGAACAAATAAACAAAACTCAGATGGATGACACGTTGGTTAAAACAGTTGTACTTTTTTATTTAAAATGTGTTTTTTATATATATATATTTTAAATTTAAAATATATTTTTATTTTCTTTATCATTTTAACATTTATACATGTTTTAAAAAAACATTTATACTCATACACTTTCTAAGAATTCAATCTTTTTTATATTTTTTTTCTGTTCTACATTATCCAAAGAATTATTTTGTGCTTGTCAACAACAAACGATACCCTCTGCAATCAGTCCGTCCACAATCAGTCTGATTGTAACACATGCACAAAATGAAAATGTGTAAATAAATATCACACATTATAATCAGCATACCTGCCCTCTTTTTTCATATGACACACATAATGACCAGACATTGTGGATGCTCCCATGTGACTGATGAAGGCAAACAATTCGTAACCTTTGAAAAAGAAAAACAACATCAGCAATGAAATATCAAACCAGCAATGTATGCAGACAGTGTAATCCTCAGTATGTGTTGACCACTGTTTGTTGAACTCAGTATTCTGTAAGCACTTACGCCCGGGTCCGTCTCTGACACGGGGGCTGGACAGGTCCTGATCTGGAGACAGAGAGGAGTTGCTGTGGGCATTGGCGTTTGAGAAGCTGTTATCGTTCGGCTCTGTGTCTGCCGTGTCTGACATAGCCTCACTCTCGTCCTCACAGTCTGGGTGTGTGAATATCCAGTCAAGCGCACGCTCCAAGTTGTTGTTCTGTAGTCAGACAAGAAGTAGAATACAGACAAAATGTGACCTCATGGTATTGTAACTCGTTGTTTATTCATTGTAACTCAGACAAAATACTCTCATCACTTGAGAACAGCTAAATTCACAGACCAATAATGTGTAGGTAACTAACAACCTAACTGGACAAAAAACATGGCAAGCTTTAATTTCACAAGAAAACACCGAACACCAAAATGATATCCTCAGGCAAAGAGCCATTTTTAAATTGCTCAGACCAGTCGAAAGTCCTTGATTTAACTGAGGTCATTCTAGCGTGGTCAAAAGACTCATTTAGGCATAGGCACTAATCTGAAATAGCACCGTGATTCACTGCAAATGCCAGCACTGAAAGCAAATAAGTCCTGACGCCCTCATCCTTTCCTGGACAAATGTGGACGACGTAGGTTAAAGACGTCCACTTGTTACTGCGCTATTATTGGCTGCTTGAGAGGCTATTTTTACACACACATACACAGATATCACAGACTTGAAAAACACCATCACAATGTCTAAAACACAAAAGGAAATATCCAAGAAGAAGCAGGTCCTACTTTGAAGGAATAATGTTTAAACACTTGACAAGAAGATCTGAGAGGTTACACTAGGAGTTATACAGTTCATTAAAACTGAACTGAAAACTAAAAATTCAAAATATTAAAGAGGAAATTATGGAGCAACTCAAGTACAACTGTGTAAAATGCACTTTTTAAAGATGTTTTGTATGAAAGAAGTCTTGTGTTCACTTATTGCATTTATTTGAGTAATATTTTAAAATAACTTTTAATAGGCTATATTTTAAAATGTAATTTATTCCTGTGATGGCAATGCTAAACTTTCAGCAGCTATTACTCTACAGTCATGGCCAAAAGTTTTGGCAGTGGCATAAATTTTGTGTTTTGCAAAGTTTGCTGCTTAAGCTGTTGTGTTCATTCACATTGTTTCTAGATTATTGTGTAGAGTGATCAGATGCATTTTAAATAATTCCTAAAAGCTTAATTGGCCAAAAAATGAACTTTTCACAAAAAAAACTAATTTCACTGTTTTTTGATCCTGACACAAAATGACCAGCTAACATTAATTGACTAATCATATCAGCAGCACATGTGAAAGTGTGAATGAGTACTAGTCAGGTGAAATCACTATCATACTAATTAGATTGTAAGAGCAGACTGATTGCTATAAAAGGAGGGACGAAGCACTTCCAATCATTGTGTTCTTATTAGCAATGGTTACTTCCAAAGAAACACGTGCAGCCATCATCGCGGTACATCAAAATGGACTCACATGCAAGGAAATTGCTAACCATTTACCGGATCATCAAGAACTTTATCTCTCCAAGAAAAACGTCAAGGGCAGACTGAAATTCTGCAGGAAGTACAAGGATTGTACAGTAGAAGACTGGTGCAAAGTTATTTTCTCTGATGAAGCTACCTTCCGACTGTTTGGGACATCTAGAAAATCGATTGTTTGGAGAAAAGGTGAACGCTACCATGTGTCCTCTGACGTGCCAACAGTGAAGCATCCTGAGACCATCCATGTGTGGGGTTGCTTTTCAACCAAGGGAGTGGGCTCTCTCATAATTCCGCCCAAAAACACTGCCATGAATAAAGAACGGTATCAAAACGTCCTGCAAG